TTCCAACTGTCTCTCCTTCGCCCCTGAGTTAGAGGAGACCCTTTTCTAGGCATACTAAGATCACCAAACCTTCCAGAATTTTGAAACCTAGAAAGAAAGGAAGAAAAATTAAATAAATACATAAAAGCAAAAATGGAGGTAGGAAAGGAGGGATACAGTCCTGGTTTGAGGGGGCTGAGATCACATCTAAGACTGTGAAATCTGCTGTAAATTCTGCTACACCGTTCTGCGAACATGTGCAGTTAGTTCCTTTTCCCTCGAAGGTGTTCCAAGATACTTTTTCTGGCTGGACTCAGGAAAGCTTTCTAGAGCTAACTTATGTTTACAGATTGCAGCCCAGCCGTAGTCAAGATCAAAAGGTTGGGAAATTTGGGAAATTTTTGCTACCATAAAAATCCCTATATCGCACTACTTGGGATGAACCTCTTTAATGACTAACACACACTTCCTATCCTTTAGGAAGCCTTTCTCTCACCCCAACAGCCTCTCCCAATGTAAGACTTCCCACTCTCTAGTGAATTCCCACTGTAGCCGGTTCAGACTTGCATCATGATATTTATGACAATTTACAGAACACACAAACTCCTGCCTATTCTCTGAGGAGAGTGTCCCATTCCCAAGCACTTGGCATAGAATGTTTACTGACTAAATGAACAAAATGAATGGAGGGAAAAGTGAAAAAACATAGCTACCAAGTGTCTCCACTTTGCCCAGTATATTAATATTACACCAAATTCTTGCCTCATATTTTGTAAAGAAGTTTTACCGAGAAGATACGGTTGTCACTGTTCTAGGCAAGGATAAAGCTTCTCTTTAATGGAGAAGGGACTTGGTGATCAAAAGGTAGATCAGGAATGCTAGAAAGTGGCAAATGGGATCCAGGTTTTCCTCTCCAGCATGTTTGCCTCTACACCTTCTTGCCTTCCTAGTGCACATCTAACGCCCAGAAAGAGCCAACTTCTCCAAGTCCCTTCTAAACTGTTCATCTTTAAAGTTTTGGTGAAGTGATAGCTTTTGTAAATTTTGTTACGATCCCAGAACCATCTCTGAAAGTCTTCACAGAACAATTAGTAATTACACAAATTTTCATTTTAACTTGTTCCTGTTAGAATAGTTGTCAGTTACCTTAGTTTTTCCTTTCATCTTTCTCCCTCTACTCCCAAATCTGCACTCTCGGTTTCGATCTACTTAAGGAAGCGATTTAATCTCGGTGTTTTCATGTCTTTCTCTTTCATATATTATTTTCCTAAGCCAACATGCATCAAGTCCTTAAGCAGTTGGAAATATATTAATAGGCTGAAAAAAGAAAAATAAAGAAAGAAAACTTCCGACGTTTGTGCAGCTTTGAAATGGCGAGAGGTCACTCAACCGTCAGGGAGTCAGCCTTAGAGGGCGGAGAGCTTATTTGTGTATCTTACATCTTTTATAGAAAGAAACAATAGCCGGTCCCCTCGGTTCAGCGTTCTTGGCGCCGCCAAGTGGAGAAAAGCGTCTTTGCACCTTATTCCTGTCTGTTTTGGCAGTCAGCAGGTGGACTCCGAGAAATGTTCAAATTAAATATGATATGACAGAAGAAATAATCAGCTGTAAGTTCATCATACCTTGTGAATAAATTTCTTCGAATTTATTCAGAATTTTAAAAATATGATGCTGCAGCTTAAAAGAAATCCAAACCTAGGTAGTGAAAGTGCACCATGGAAGATGCATTAGGGGACAAAACTTAAGATATGCAAGCATTTGAATCAGTCTTTGTGATAGGAAAGAAGTATCTTTGGTGTTGGTTGTTGATTGGCACTGATATGGCCTTCAGAGCCAGGAAGTAAAAGTTTGTTCTCTATTCACAGTTGGGAAATAAACAATTACTTTCTGGGTAATAATTTTTAAAATTACAGAATTTTCTTCCTTCTTAAAAAAAAATGAGGGCCTGTAAAATCATGTGAAAAATTCATGTCAGCTTAAGTACTCTATTTGTATTTTAAATCCAGTGGGAAAATCTGAGATTAAAGTCAGTCAACGCATACCCATTCACGTGGAAATGTGACTAATCTACACCTCGAGCTATTTTTAAATTTTTGATTATTAAAAAATGAAAATAAATTATACTTGTTCTGCCAGAAAAATGCATGATGTTTTGTACATACACACTCATATACCCTCAGAAAAATAATGGAAAAGAATGTCTCTGGAGAAAAAAGAAATGAGAAAAGTTAAAATCCTAGCTTTTAAGAATTTATTTTTTATTAAGTTTGTGATGTGGTCTTTGAGTCTTACTTTTGATCCTTCAGGCCACTACTATTTTTCCTCTCTGGGAGAGACCCAGATGTAAGAGCCTTGAGAAAAGTCAAGGTCATATTTTCCCTTCACCATTGTTACTCCCAAAAGGTAATAATCTAACACCGTGCCAAAGAAATCTTCTATGATGTTAACCTTTACTTAAGAAAATATGATCTGAAATATTCACAAGGTGTGGCCTATTGGGTTCCCCTTTGCTTTGGAGTTTTCATAAAACACGCATTCCCTTCCCCCAACACTTCGACTTTCCACTCTCCCTTTCTGTTCAGATTTCACTTTTTCGTAGGGTCATATTTCTGTTGTCTCTCCTGCCAATGCTGTGAACTATTTCAAGTAAAAAAAAAAAAAAAAAAAAACCAAAACAACAACAACAACAAAACACAAAACCCCCTGTCGAACTGCCCAACACTAGCTGTGCGATCAACCTTTTGAGCTCTTGGGTCATTTTAGGCATCGGAACAAAACAAAAACAGGCTTAAATGAATTATTTATCAAGGTCGAGAATAACTGATTAGTGCAGTGCCCTCAGTTCTGGATTTTAAATTTGTTCTCCCTCTCCCCACTTCCTAGCCTGAACACGCAGCGAGGGGAGTGCGAGTTGGAGCCCCCAGGGCGAGGAGAAAACGCACCTCATTTGGGTGATGGGTGATGTCAGAACAGGAAGAACCCTAATCCTAATCGATAATTCGCCGCCTTCTCGGGCAGCCCCAGCGCCCTTCCCGCCTTTCCCACTGTGGTCAGCCGCGCCAGGGACTTAGGGCGCGGAGACTGCGAGGGTGTCCAGCGCCGGGCCTGGCGGGCGGGGGCTTGCTGCCTGGGACAAGTAGTCTTAGTAGTCCGGCGCCAGTGGTCGTGTAACCCCGGCCCAGAAAGCCAAGGCCTGCCCCCAAAACTCCGTGAAGAGTCTTCCCCGTCAGCACGCAGTTTCAGCTCCCAAAGCGGCCGATCCAAGCCCGCTCGGCGGTCGTCCTGGCCCTCGAAGCGTCCAGGCCTAGGCTGGCCAGACCCGAGCCCTCGGCCCCGGCCACACGTTCCTGAGGGGCTCCCCGTACCCCTGAGGGCGTCGAAAGCCTCTGCCTGGAGCTTGACCGACCTCGGCTCACCAGCCCCGGCTCCTCCGCCCAATTACCCTCGTCTTCTGAGAAAAGCAAGAGCTCCTTGCCTTGGTTCCTCCTCTCCTTGCTGTTCTCAGAGACAGCACGGTGAAAATGGCAAGAGGATGTTTCGAAACAGCTCAACAAACCCTCGACACAGCGCGGGCTTTTTCTGGGTCAAACACCTCGATTTCCCCAAGAAAACGCAGGGCGCCTGAATCATCCACATACCCACTTCCAGACCGGGGACTGACACAGCAGTTCCCAACGAAAAAAGATCTTGTCCTAAGAGGACATCTGCTTCCCTAGGATCTCCCCTGTCCTCAGCAGAAAAAGCCGTTCCCCTGACAGCTACCCACAGAACAGCAACTAAACCCCAGATTCGCCGCAGCCCTTGGAGACTTTAAAGGCCATTTTCTAACATCATTCCCGCACCTAGTCACGCAAGCGATGCCAACCACGCAGATTCATAGGGTTCTTAAAATGGTAATTTGGAGTAAAATGTAACTCAAAGAACTTTGAATCATTCATTAGCACCTTATAATTACTCTGCTAATTAGGTTGACAAGGCACTTAATCAGGAGTAATATGCCGTCTTGTCACTGGCACTTCCCATTACTCTGACATTCAACAAGAGACAGGTTGTAGATGTCCTAAAGAAAATAACGCAAGTTGATACCCTCCGACGAGGCGTCACAGTCATGCTCCGGGTCCCAAGTGGATCCGCACTGACTGTTTCCTTCCCGGGTAAGCGGCCAGTCTTGGGGGTGGGGGGCAAGGACGGCCTGGAGTGGGGCGCAGGCTGCGGAGTCGCCAGCGCCGCCCGAGTCCCCGCCGGCCTGACCCGGCGGTGAAGGGCGGCTGCCCTCGCCACTGGAGAACGCCCTGGGCACTGTTTCCCCTGTCGGGAGAAGGTGTCGGGCGGGCCCCGCGGGCTCCCACCGGAGGCGAGGCTGGGTCCCCTGGCTCAAGCGGGAGGCCCGGTCCCCGAAGCAGACCCGGCTCGGATCTGCCACCCGGCCGGGCAGAGCCCGAGCGCGTGGACTCCTAGGGAGAGAAATCGGAGCTCCGGCCCCGGGGACGCGCACACCTTCCGGGGTTCCCTCAGGCCGGGCCTCTGCTTTCAGTGTCTCCGGACTGTTTACGCGCGCGTTTGGGGGAAGCTGCTGGAGTCTGAATCGGCCCGGCCCGATTCCTCTACTCTGCCCTCGGCGTCCCCATTCCCCTGTGACGGAAGAAAACGTGCACGGCGTTCCCACTGTTTTCTCTCCTCCCTTTGGTTCCCTGTCGCTATCTCCCGCTGCCCCCCCCCCCGTCTTTGCCCCTCGCTCGTGATTGAGGACACCAGGGTCACCGGACTAGGTGCTCAGCCCAGGCCTGTGGGCAAAGCGCTGCGCGGGTTCTCAAAAGAGCAGCGGGGTCCGCGCGGCGCTCGCTGACGGGCTCCCGAGCCGCACGCCCATTGGCTCCTGGCACGCCGGCGTCGCTAGCTCGCGCGGGCGCGGCCAATGGGGGAGCGGAGCCAGCGCGCGGCCTCGTGGCGGGGGCGCGGGCGGCGTGGCGTGGGGAGCAGCGGCAGTGGCCGTGACGTCACGGGAGGGGGTCTGCGCCGCCCGCGAGCCGCCGGATTACAAGCGAACGCGCCCGGCTGCGGCCGGAGTTGCCCAGCCCTGCGTCTCTGCGGTCTCTTCCGCCTGCGCCTGCTCCTTTTCTTCTTCTTCCTCCTCCCTTCGGGTGGCCGCGGCCACCGCGGTTCTGTCTGCTCCATAACTTTTCCGAGAAAGTTCATAAACTCGGCTCCGAGGCGGCCTGCCCGGTCGCGCGTGGCAGCCACCTCGGGAGCAGCCGGGAGCTCTGAGGGCTCGCGGCTCCCCAGGTCCCGCGCTCGCGGCACCTGCCGCATTCGCTGACTGCTGCTGCCGGCCGGTGCCAGGCTGTGGGCAGACCCGGGCGGCGGCGGCGGCTTCGGGGTCCCTTCCGGCCGCCTGAGCCCTCGCCCGGTCCCCTGCGCCGCCGCCGCCACCGCCCCACGTGCGTGGTGGTCCCCGGAGCGCACGCTCCTTGCTTTCCCTAATTTTTTTTTTTTGGTAAGTCCCTCTGCGCCCCTCTTCTTTTTCCTAGCCCTATTTTTTTTTTTTTTGCATAAGGAGAAAAAAGTTGTGTCGAAAGTGTCCCCCGATCGTCACCTCCCTGTTATCCTTCACTCCCGCCCCACTTTTAAATTTGTTTTTAAGCAGCGGCAACATTATTGTTTGTTTTACGATCGATAGCTTCCTGTGCTTTTTTGGTCAGGGCAGCTGGTGAACGGCGGAGTGGCGTGGACCTCATGTAGAAATGACAACAATGGAAGGGGCCAGCGGGTCTAGTTTTGGAATAGACACGATTTTGTCCAGTGCCAGTTCGGGCAGCCCTGGCATGATGAATGGAGATTTCCGCTCGCTCGGGGAGGCGAGGACCGCGGATTTTAGGAGTCAGGCCACCCCGTCCCCCTGCTCGGAGATTGATACCGTAGGAACTGCACCTTCTTCTCCCATCTCGGTCACCATGGAGCCCCCGGAGCCGCATCTGGTAGCAGACGGGCCCCAGCATCACCACCACCTCCACCACAGCCAGCCGGCGCCGCCGCCAGCCGCGGCCCCAACGCAAAGTTTGCAGCCTTCGCCCCAACAGCAGCCGCCGCCGCCCGCCGCCCAGCAGCTGGGATCGGCTGCCTCGGCCCCCAGGACTTCCACCTCTTCTTTTTTAATTAAGGACATCTTGGGCGACAGCAAACCTCTGGCGGCGTGTGCACCCTACAGCACCAGCGTCTCCTCTCCCCACCACACCCCGAAGCAGGAGAGCAACGCAGCGCAGGAGAGCTTCAGGCCAAAGCTGGAGCAGGAGGACAGCAAAACCAAACTCGACAAGCGGGAAGATTCCCAGAGCGACATCAAATGCCACGGTGAGTCGCGCCGCCCTGCAGCCGTCCAGCTTCTCCTCCAGGTTCCCTTCCCCGCATCGTCCGCCAGCGAATCTCGGACGAGGAATTATTCTGGGAGGTTCTCGGGCGCTGGTCAGAAGAGAGCAAAGCTGAAGAGAGGCCTGGGCGTGCAATCTCGAGACCGAGACCGGTCCAAAGTTCTGTTTATTGTTTCATTTCTGCTCCTCAGTCTTCACGCCAACCAGCTGCGTTCTTTGTTTTACTTAATTTTAATGCTTTGGGAAGGTGGGCGGCAGAGAGGAGATGTGAAGGGAAATACTTTTCCTTGATAAAAGGGAAAGACTTGAGGATTTCCTAGCCGAGACCTTGAGAATGGAATAGGGGGAGGTGGGAGAGGGACACCGCTTAGCTAGTAGCCTAGTGTCTAGGGGTGTGAACACAGCATAACCTGATTTTAATTCTTTAATGCAAACGATCACGACCCTCGTATTTTCTAAACACTGACACAAGAATTATCCGATTTAATGAAGGAAAAATTTCTAGTCGATTAACAGAGCAACTGAAATAAATTAGATCGTGATTAATACAGAAGAAGGAAGTACAGTCATAATGAGTTTTTTTTAAAAAAGCCTTTCTTACCCAGTGGTATCAACAAAATTTCTGTGTTCTTAGTAAAATTTTTGGCTTCTTACAAGTAATGGTGAGGTAACATTTATGCACGTCAAATTTTATGGAATTTATTTTTGTAAATCAGATGACCGTGGAGACAGTCCTTTAACTCCCCCTTTCCATTTTCTCCTCATACAGTTTCATAATTAAGTGTTCTGGTCTTTGCTTGGCGACAGAGTTTTAATATATGAGGAGAGTAGTTTCTTTTTTCCCTTTACTGATCAGTTATTATTAATCCTTCTCTGGTCAAGAGATGTGCTGACTGTCTGGAAGGTAGGATATTTACTTCTCATTTTACTATTATAGCATTAGCATAATAGTGCCCAAAACAGATGTACAGTCTGGTCTGGCGATTTTTTGTGCACCAACCTCCCCAGTGGGTCAATTAGAGAGATTATTGTTCTTCCTGCAGGGAAGATCAAGGAGCGCTGCACAAACGGGTACAAACAGAGAGGGATTGACATATCGATTTCCCAGCATTTCAGTAAAAAACGAAAGTTGACAAATAGAATCCGGAAATCTCCATGCTGTCACCTGGATGGGCTCAATAATTTTGAGCTCAATTTAGTGTCTGGGTGACACTTTTTTGGGGGGGAGCTTTAAAAGATCTGGTGCAGGCAGCTGTAGAAAGCTTGATTCCAGCATTTCTCAAGTGCATCTGAAAAAGAAACAAGTGCCTGTAGCTTTCAGTAAATAGAAGAAAAAGTAAAATGAAAAAAGTACTTCCTCAAAAAAAAAAAACCCTAACAAAACAGACTCTTTGAAACATCTTAAATCAGAAAAATGGTTGTAGTGAAAACAATTTAAAAATGGACATCTCCCCCAATCAAGGAAAAACAGTAACGAAAGAAAGCTTTAGTGGAAAGTATTTTTTTAACTTTTAATTTCCAGCCACAAGCAGATCAGACACTCTTTCAGAACCTTTTCAGGATCTCTACACAAGGCCCCCACACTCCCCAGTCAGAAAACAATCCTCTTGCTCCATACTGGCTAAGGCCCAAGTATGTGCAGGAGGGCGCTGATGGAGGTCCCCCAGGATCAGAGGCTGGCTTGGGAATGTGGAAGTGTGTGCCAGGACACTCTACCCTCTCCCATTTCAGGCTAACTTACTTGGCTATGGCTCGATTTCTATTGTAGGAACAAAGGAGGAAGGAGACCGGGAGATTACAAGTAGCCGAGAGAGTCCCCCTGTAAGAGCTAAGAAGCCTCGAAAAGCCAGGACAGCTTTCTCAGACCACCAGCTCAATCAGTTGGAGCGTAGCTTTGAACGGCAGAAGTACCTGAGTGTCCAGGACCGCATGGACCTGGCAGCTGCACTCAATCTCACTGACACCCAAGTCAAGACCTGGTACCAGAACCGCAGGTAAGGAAGACTGCTCGGGAGAGCAAGGTGTCTGGCCATTAAGGTCAAGACCACCGCACTAACTTCCCCACTGTCCTCTGGAGACTCTAGGGATTGAGAGTGAGTGGGCCTAGAGTGGGTGCTTGGGGGGTTTTCGGACAGACAAGGGCAAGGATTAGCCACACACGGACAAGTGAGAGGGACTGAAGGGCAACTGAAGTTTGGGCAGCTTTGCACTTCTAAGTGTCTTAATAGGTGCTACTTTCCCTCTGAAACCTGAGCTGATGGACCCCTTCCACACACACTTTGTCCCCGGATCAGTCAAGCCACACCTTCTCAAATTGAGACATCTGTGCAGCTGACACTCAGGCTCAGCGAGCCTGTGTGTGCCTTGCACCCCTTGGGTCTGCCTCAGGCCGCTTCCAAATGTCTGTAGCTGGCAACATGGTCCAGCTACTGCAGTCCCCATGGAGCTGTCCCACCAGCCTCAGCTTAGATGTGTGGGAGTTGGGAGAGTGAGTCTGGCATAGCCTCGGAGGCTGGGAGAACCCAGCTGGGGTAGAGTTGCGTAGCCTCTGCAGGCTGGAGAATCAGGCAGCTGGCCAAGCATCCAGACTGGGGGAGGGGGTGTCTGTCCCTTGTACTGACCGCCTCTGCTATCTCAAATAAGGAGAAAGGGTGCCACAGAACCTTCCCGGCACCAAGTGATTTTGTGTAAAGGAAACTAAGGAAGTGGCTGCCTGAGCGTGCAGGGCCCTGCAGTGTAGGTTCAAACCTGGGCAGTCTCGGGTGAAGCTATACTGTTTCCAAGCTTGGTGCTGCTCATCTCCCTTGTCTTCATTTTCTCTCCCCCTCCTTTTCTGTCGTTTTGTGTTCTAATCATCCATAAGTGTGATTGGAAATGCCCATCCAGTTGTCATCTTTACCATAATTTTCTGTCTCATTACATACGGTTTCAGCCACTCTAATTCTGTCGGAAAACATTAGTGTCATTTGTAGCCAATTTAAAACGGGCGACATGTTTATTAATTTGGCTGGAGCTTCGGGGTGTGGACAGCCCACCAGCCTTGTGATCCTTCATAAAGCATTTGAGCAAAAGCCTGCTTCCCTCTTCTTCCTAGCGGGGTGCAGTGAGGGAGGGAGGAGAGCAAGAAAAACTGGTCACAGGTTTTGTTACTTTCTCCCTAAGGAGGAAATATCTTGAAATATATTTTCTCTCCACCTAGAGTGGCCAGGAGATACTGTCCTCACGGAGAGAGTCCTCTCTCAAAAGGATTTTGTTTTGAAATCTTGTCATTCTCCTCACCCTAAGCCCCCTGCCGGCTATAAGGACCTGTCAAGCTGATAAGAGAGTTGTCTCCAAAGCTTCAGGGAGTGAGAGGGGCTGGGGTCCCAGCCCAGGAGTCTCAGTGTCCCTTTGTTTACATTTTCAGTTTCTTCCTTTTCTGTGGGGGCTGGGGGAGGGGGAGGGGCCAGAGCAAAGGCTTTGGGATTATTGAAGGACCTTGAAGGAGGAGAATTAAGGCAGTCCTTTGGAAAGACTGCCTGTGGAAAGAGGGGTCTCATTTTGTCTCCAGGAAAGTTTCAGGAAGTAACCAAACTATTTGCAGGGGGGCACAGTAGAGCAGAGGGTTGGGAAGAGGTAGCACAGCTTGTAGGATTCCATCTGCCAGTGTCTAACATAGTGTAGTTTTCAAAATTGACTTTGGGTTTGGATTGTACTGCCAATAAGGCAGAGGGAGGAGATGTGAATCTCGGGCTTCCCAGAGCTCTTAGAGCCTTACTCCATCTCAGAAGGGAAGTTAGAGACCAGAGAGAGCCAGAGAAGCAGTGGGGGGCCTTGGTGCCTGAACCCTGCCCACAGCCCTCGGTTGCAGGCTTCCCACTTTCTTTCAGGACCAAGTGGAAGCGGCAGACTGCGGTGGGCCTGGAGCTTCTGGCTGAGGCGGGGAACTACTCAGCGTTGCAGAGGATGTTTCCTTCACCTTATTTCTATCACCCAAGCCTTCTGGGCAGCATGGACAGTACTACAGCGGCGGCAGCTGCGGCTGCCATGTACAGCAGCATGTACCGGACTCCTCCAGCACCCCATCCCCAGCTGCAGCGGCCCCTGGTGCCCCGGGTGCTCATTCATGGCCTGGGTCCAGGGGGACAACCAGCCCTCAATCCCTTGTCCAACCCCATCCCAGGCACCCCACATCCCCGGTGAAGGAGGTGGGAAGGCGTGTATCCTTCCCTGTCCCCCGCCCCAACCTGGACAGCTGCCCCACCTCTCCCCACACCAGGCCACCAGGACACTAGGCTTTCTTTGCAGCCAACCCTGGGAGGCAGAGGAGCAAGAGAGGAAGATGCTCACCAGTGGGCGGGGGTCCCCACAGAGGAGCCAGCCCTCTGCCCTCCATCCCCACCCCCAGAGGCTGGGCTGGAAAGCTCCCCCAGCAGTGTGACTGGCAAAACGCTGACCCCACTCAAAGTGAAACCAGTAAGTGAAAACAACAAACACAAAACCTCAAGTTCTTTTTAAAACGACTTTAGGGACAAGCAGGAGGGAGGGAGGGGGGAGGGCTGAGGAGGGAAGAAAGAAGGGCATGGAGAGGAAGGTGGGCAGAGGGAATTGTAGGTGGACCACCAGCCTCAATTACAGGCGGAAGGTGTTGCTGTGGACGTTTGTCTGCCCCAGAGAAAAGAGGAGGGTGACTGAGAACTTTGCACTGATTTCTCATGACCTTTTTTCTTTTGGAAAAGTGGCATGCTCCATAATATGAAAAAAATGTACATTTGAAAGACTGAGTGATAAGTGATATATCATATTTATTATATGTTGTCCAAAAAAGAGTCACTTATATCCGTTAGTAAAAACATTTTTCTTTTCATGTCCTTTCGATTCAGTAAAATAAATGCTTAGACAAAAATATAGATTTTTTGTGATTAAAATTACAAAAATAAAGTTTATCTTTTTTTAATAAGCGATGACATCCCAGGGAACTGATTTTACTAAAGCAGATGTACATACTATGATAAAATGTGCGACTTGGTTAGGGGAAATAAAAATATCCCCTCTTGAATATTAGGGATTTACAAAATCCGAATAAGGTTGGGTTGGTTTGTATGAACAGCTCCGTTTCTCAAGCTGCTCTCTCGAGCCGTTCTTCGCTCGGTGTGGGAGCCTCGATTTAAGTGCATGGTTTCGGAGCCAACCCTGACGCCGAGGGAGAAGTCTGTTCTCTAGGCTGTTGGCGCTGGCTTAGTAGGCGGCCAGCTTCCTCCGCCGTCGCCGCTGCCCGGAGGCCGCAACTCGGCCTCACGAGGGTCCCTCGCCCCCTCCCCCGGTCTTCGGTCTTCCTGGGGCGCTGAGGTTTCCAGGCGCGGGGCGGTGACTCCGGCCTCGCAGCAGCTGTTCTGCAGCCTGGGGCTCGGCGCCCCCGTGGCCGGACAGCCTGCGAGCGAGCGAGCTGGTGGCTGCGGGGAGAGCAATTAGGCCTCCCCGGGGGACGCGGAGAGGCCCCGCTAACAACTCCTTGTCGCGGCTTTGATCCTTGCCTTCTCCGTTCGGCAGCAGCCGACGTCCAATCGCCAGCACCACACTGAGCCGCGCGTACTAGTGAGTTCGCTGTACTTCGATGCCAGGAGCAGGAATGCAACGGCAAACTCTGGTTGAGACAGGCATGCCATGCCTTCTATCTGCACCCCTGGAACGTCTGGGACCTAAAGTAGAGACCTTGCCCAGTGTGTGCGGGAGACCCGCCGCCGCCGCCGCCGCCGCCGCCGCTGCTGGTGTTGCTGAGTGTGTGTGTGTGTGCGCGCGCGCGTGTGTGCGTGTGTGCGTGTGTGTGTGTGTGTGTGTGTGTGTGTGCGCGCGCGCGCGCAAAGGCTCTGAGCTTTCAGGCCGGGCCTTGACTTCGGACCATAGGGCCCTGGCTAGGCCGACTGCCTACCAATCTCAGTTTCAGTGCTCAGTGTTGTATGAAGGAAAAAGAAGTGGAAGGTACAGTTGGGGAGCTGCCGGAACTCCTCTTCAGCCCCTAGGTCACCTCCTGAGCAGCCAAGTCGGATCCTATCACCTCTATCCTGGCACCTGCTCTAGTATCCTCACGTGTATCCTCTCTTCTGGTGATGTGGCAGCGTGGGCTAGAAAGCAGCTAAGACGTCCAGGATCGAGCCTCCAACGTTTTCTGATGCTTGAAACTTACTTAATAGAGTTAAAAACGTTTTTTTAAAACGTGGAGTGGTGTGGGAATAAAAGTTAAGGAGTGGGATGGGAAAAAGGAAAGAAAGAGGTGAATTCCAGGAGGAAATTGCCTCAGGCGCCTTGATCAGACCTCTGCTAATTAGGGAGTGGTTTGTAGATCTCTCTCCAGCTCATCAATTTGCTTTAAAAAACAGTCTTGGTCTTCTTTGATTTTAACAAAAGGGTCTGGACTGGCCCTTCTTATTTTGTGCCTGCTGAGCTGGGACAAACTCAGATAGCTGGGCAGCTGGGCTTGCCTGGAAACTGAGTGAAGCCATGTCTAGCAGGGATGCCTAATGCCTGGGCACTCAGTGGACTCTTGTCAGTCCATCTTAGCTGTCATCGGTTTTTTGTTTGTTTTAATCAAGTTTCAACAGTTTGCAGTGATTTGCCTAGGCCTAAAAAGTCACCCTCCCAGACTTGAGGATGTTACAGCTTTGGTCTGCACTGGACCTGGTCTTGTCTGCCTTGGGCACAAGGGAGACCCAGATGGGCACAGAGGTCACACAAAGAATCTATATTAAGAATTACCTCAGGTCCAGGTGGAGGAAATGCACAAACAAACCCACAAATCCAGGAAAGGCTGCAGCACCCATTTGCTGCCAGCAGCCACCCTGCTAGGGAGTCTGCCCACTGCTGCTTCCCTCTCAACATGGAACTTGGGCTCCTAGGTGGTGGTGGGCACTGCCTACAGAGAGCAAGGCTTTGGAATTAACCTCATATTTCACAGCTGCTAGTAATTACTCTGGATACATCAGAGCCCCCTCCCTTCAGTCATGTTCTCTTAACACACCCTAAATCAGGCAGTTGAAAGTGTTACTCTCCCTTTTCTAAATTTACTGTTGTATACAAGTTAGCAAACTGAGTTTGGGTGGGAGGGGTGGGGATGGGAGGTTGTCCCAGAAAGAAAGTAGGGTACTAGGTTCTTCTTTTCATCTTTTTCTTTCTGTAGGAGTGCTGCAAAGGGCCCCTCAGCAGGTGCCCTAGTATTCAAAAGTCCCCAAAGTACGGCTTAAAAGTCAAACCTAGTCTATTTCCTCACAAGGGGTCCTGAGCTTGGCTAATACTCATTCATATTCCCCCTCTCCTCTCTGGTGGGAATCAAACCCTGAGCTCTGCAAGTGCTGGACATGCATTCTAGCCAAGAAACACCCCCAGCCCCAGCTCCAGGTTTTCTGAGAAGGAGCAACCCAACATACCTGTTCACCTGGGGGATCTCCAGTTACAGAGGCTCCAGGATGGCTGTCACTGGGAGCTGCACTTCTTTACTTTTGTCCACCTTCACCTGGTGTCTGAAGGGTAATTTATGGCTGGACTCTATTTGGATTGCTCCTTTGATTAAGTTGAAATCTGACAGAACAGAGACTGTCAATGGCATTCATTGTGTCCAACAGGAAGTGGACTTGTTTCAGAGAGATCTTTAAAAACTCCACAAAGGCCTCCTAGAGTTGCCCACCCCAAGATCAGCCCAGGGCCCCAGCATACCTGGTAGAAATCTGTAGTTGGGCATTAAGGAAGAAAAAGTATCTGACTGCAGCCAGCCATTCTAGCCCAACCCAGTGATTTTCAGTGAGTTGCAAAGTAAAAGACTGCTGCTTGGCGCCACACTTCCAGCAAATATACCTACCAGCCTGCATCAGTTTATTTTTGCTCCACCCCTTAAAATGAAAGGACACATCATGGCAAATTAGACAGCCAGTTTCCTCTGTTGCAAATGAAACTCTTACCCTCAAACCAAGTCTTCCTCCCCCCTCCCTGCCAGCTGACTCCTGCCTAGGCAGCCCTTCCCCTGGAGTCTGCAGAATCCCATCTCCCCCTCTTTAAACAGGCGGCTTGTGAGGAGTTTGTTTTGTTATATTTTTAACTTTCTAAAAATATTTGGAAAAGCTCTCCCCAGGGCTAGGGAAACTTTAGTTCTTGTTAAACCACGTGGTTACAAAAATATACTGGAAGAGAGCTGCTTGATTTTTGAAAAGCCAGGCAGGGCTTGAAGTCAACATGCTTAGAAAGAAACCGACTTTCACCACTAGTGGGCACGGTCAGGGACAAGGCCAAGCCTCGGAGGGAACTGATGTTTTCTCCACAGCTCTGAATCTTTGCTGAGGGAAAACTAGCTTGCCCCATGGTCTGGCTGTTGACTAGAGACAGGGGTGGGCAGAGACCACTGCTGACCCCATGGCACTTGGAAGAGTGCCCCTTGAAGTTCTCACTCAGTCTTTGCCCAGACCCTCTTCCTTGGTGCACTCCATCCAGTCTTCTCCAGCACACATGTCTTTTCCTCGAGTGGGGCCCTCCCAGTGGCCAGCGCCCCTTCCTCCTTACCTCTGGCAGCCTGAACACCTCAGGGCTGGGTGAGGGTAAGTGTGTGGGGTGAAGGTTGTGCTTTCAGTGAAAGGGAGATGTTACTGGCTTTTTGCATTGGAAAACCAGGTCAACTGTCTCAGGCGATGAAGTGACCCAGAAGGGAATTTATCCTCCCCTCCTTCTGGCTGAATTCTGAAGGTCTCTGTCACTCAGTCAACGTCCTGTTCTCGGTTTCCTTCCTCTCCTCCTCTCTGGGCCTCCTCTCCTGGGTCTCCCTCTCCGTTTCTCCTAGCACCACAGACAGCTCCCAGGTGGCAGGGACGGAGGTGCCCAGGGCTGCCTGGTTCCTGGCAAAGCCCAGGCGACCGCAGGGGGCGCGCGGGGAAAGGTCGGCGGCGCTGCCCGCCGGGGAGGTCCTCGAGGTGACTACAAAGAGCCCTCCCCGGCAGCGTTTCCTGATTAGCTCAAAGTCCAAACAGGGTCACATTCCAAAGAACAAAATCTTCAGATCAATAAAGTAATTCAAAAACTCAAAGATCTCAGGGTAAGTAGTGCTCAGTGACAGATCAACTCTAAACCGCCCCTGTTTAATAAGTTCTTAGTGGAAGCCAACTAGGGAGGAGGGAGACCTCAGGCTGCGGCTCCGAAGCCCTTGAGCCCTGGAGAGGTCGTCCGCGCCGCCTCTCTCAATGGCACTGACCAGGAGCGCTTTCGAGCAGCGGCCTCGGGCCGCGGAGGCCCGGGTCACAGGCTCCCGAGCTGCGGGCCTGCGCCTTTCTTCCTTAATGCGGATTCCGGACGCTTCTCTGGTGCCGGACACCAGGTCGCCCCTGTGGGAACGCCAAAGAAAAGGACCTTTGTGAGTGCGAGACTGAACTTGGTTTACGATTAAAGGGTTTAGTCACTTCCTGGAGCTGATGGTTCCCGCCCCTACCCACCCCACGGGGAGATCAGACTTGATTCTTAGGTGGAGAAGCCCTCCTCGTGGACGCGGACTTCCCCTCCCGCCCACTGCTCATGATTCGCACACAGCGTTGTCAGCCCGGCCGCCGCGCAGTGCGGGATCCGCGCGGGGTCTTCCGAGGAACACACCGGGCAGAGCCTCGCCCGCACGCCCCGAGACAGCCCCGCGGACTGGGGCTGGTTACAGATGGCGATTTAAGGAACAATGTGTACATCGGAACAGGGACCCTGTATTCCTGGGACAGGAATGCAGACGCTTCCAGGAAAGGTGGTTGAGATAGCCTACAGAGCAGGGTCTTTCGACACATCTCAGAGGGCCCTGGCCGGAATATAAAGCCTTCTCCTCCCGTGAAGATAATAAAATAATCTTTGCCCAGGTGGGAGCTCATATCTGCATCCAGCCTCTCCT